AGCACCCCCCCGCCCCCCCCCCGCCGCCCAGTGCCACCCACAGCCCCCTGTGATTCTTTAATGGCCAACTGGCCCCAAATTACCTAGGCACCACACCTGGACGTGCTCCCCAGCCCTCTCCAGAGGCCACAGGGACTGGTCTCGGACCCCTGCTACAGCAAAAAGCATGTTAACCATTTTTGTAGGGAGGGCCAGGCTGGCTGGCCTGCTTTCTTTTCTTTCTGATGGCTGGCTGATCCTCATGTCATTCTGAGAGATGGGCCTAAAATCTCCATGTCGCAGATGAGGAGATCATAGTCTGAAGATCTGTGTCCACTTGTCCGTGGTCACGCGGCAAGTTTGTGACACAACTGGGACAGGACTGAAGCCAAGGACTTTTTCTTCCTTTGCAGGGCACCGGGGGTGTCCGGCAGTGCCAGTTGCCAGCTGGTTGTCACTCAAGCTGCATCCCAGCTGCCGGGGAACATGTTGGGGTAGTGTCTCCCGCATTAGACAGGGGCTCCCCAAGGGTGGATCTATTTTTTCTCCCCTCAGACTTGGGACACCTGAGGGCAAGGACTGTCTCCATCCTCAGAATGGGAAACTTCCTGAAGGCAAGAATGTGTCCTCCATCAGCCTGGGTGTCCTCAAAGGCAGTGTTTTGACTGAGTTGAGGGCAAGGTGTGTATCTCCAGAGACTGGGGATGAGGGGCCATTTCCTAGTTGCAAAGATTGTGGCCGTCCTCTCAGTGGCTCCAAGGGTAGACACTGTGCTTTTTCTATTAAACTAGGGCTTTCTGAGACCAGACCCTGGGACTGGGGGTTCCCTGAAGGAGAAACTCTGTCTCCTCATCCAAATGGGGGCTCCTTGAAAGCAGGGCACATGTCTGGCCTCTTTCTCTGTCAGGGGCGTGTCTGCCACAGAAACATTCCACAGGGCAGGGCTGGCTAGGTGGTGGAAAGGAGGCTGGACAGGCAGAATGGTGGTCCCACTCTGGAGGAAGGAAGGAAGAAGCCTCCCCAGGCTGCCTCCCCTTTAGAAAGATATGTGATTAATTAACGAATAATGTCCCTGCCAAAGGGGTGTGAGGATGGCAGTGCCCCTGGAGCTCACCCACACGAGCAATGGCAGGCCATCCTGTGCCCAGGCAGCTGCCAGCCCTCAGAGCTGGTGCTGCCCTGGTTTCAAGGGGAGCAGAGGGGGCAGCAGGAACCCACCGCTGGGGGCTACCCTAATTGGATGACTTTGCAGGAAGGCCAGGCAGGTGCGCTCGGCTCTCCGCTTCAGCTTGCTGCAAACACATCTGCCATGGTGAGGTCTAGGGGTTAATTGCCTCCCGCCTCACTCCTGGTAACCGATATTTCATTTACTGCTCAGAGGGGGAGCTGCCTGGAGAATCAATCCTGGACAAGCATCCAGGGGGCAGGGGAGGCACGGAGGCACGGGAGCTGTGTCCCGGAGGATCTCTGAGCATCAGAGTAGGAGGCAGGAGGCAAGGACCAATTGCTCAAGGCTACTCTGGGGCTCACCTGCATTCTGCTTACCCTGACAACAGCTCCAGGACCCCCAAGAGCTGGGAGAAAATACGAGGGGTCCAGAGGCTGCACTACGTCAGCTATAGCTGTGCTGTTTCCCCTGCCCTGGTCCCTTCTGCATGTACTTATCTGGGTACCCCTGTAAGCTGTAGCAGGTTAGATGCTGTTAATAAGGTTATTTTCACAAGCAATGAAGGTATATTTGAAAAGCGGAACTGGAGGTGTGAGCTCCTCACTTCCTTCCAGGTAATAAACCTTAAAATCCTACAAATGGGGCTTCCCTGGTGGCGCAGTGGTTGAGAGTCCGCCTGCCGATGCAGGGGACGTGGGTTCGTGCCCTGGTCCGGGAAGATCCCACATGCTGCGGACCGGCTGGGCCCGTGAGCCATGGCCGCTGAGCCTGCGCGTCCAGAGCCTGTGCTCCACAACGGGAGAGGCCACAACAGTGAGAGGCCCGCGTACCGCAAAAAAAAAAAAAAAAAAAAACCCAAAAATTTGACCAGCATTTTTATATTTTTATGTATGTTTTTGTGCACACACACACACAATTGAATATATGTATTCTAATCCTTCCACCCCTCCTCTGTAAGAGAAGGTGACTGGGAAGCTCTGAATTTCATTCATTATCCTATCACCTTCCTTCAAGTTTATGGGATGACACTTGAATGCTGTGTTATTTCACTGTACCAGTTACCTATTTCTACCAACGCAAAAAAAAAAAAAAAAAAATCCTACAAATGAAGTGATAATAAAGTGGAAGTGAAAAGTCTATACATGTTTGGGACTGGGTGGGGGTGGAGGTGTTACTGAGAGAGGGCAGCTGGGGCCTGGAGAGAAAAGGGACCAGAGGGCTCCCCGCCACCGTGCTTTCCACATGCTACCCATTTGCCCCATCTGCCAAAATTGAGAATCAAAGCCACAGAATGGGCAACTCTCAGTACACAGCTGGAAAAACTGAGACCCAGAGATGAACCCAAGGTTGCTCGGGCTGGTTCAGGGCAGAGCTAGAACCTGAGACAGCAGGACCCAGCAGACATGCAGCAATTGGAGTCAGAAGAACTGGGCTCAAGTTCTGGCCCAGTTCAGTGTTTCAGGAAACGAAATTTCACCTCTCTGAGCCTCAGTTTCTCCATCTATAAAATGGGCCTAATAAAAATATCTACTTGAAGGGCCATTATGAGGCAGTGGGTAAGAAATTATTAATATTTTGTAAGTTGTAAAGCAAAATGCAGATGG